GTTTTATAAGATAGTGTGTGGTAGCATACACCTTTAATATCAGCACTCCAGGGCTGGAGAGATGGCTCAGCGGTTAAGAGCACTGACTGTTCTTCCAGAGGTCCTGAGTTCAATTCCCGGCAACCACATGGTGGCTCACAACCACCTTGAATGAGATCTGGTACCCTCTGCTGGCCTGCAGGCAGAAGGCTGTATACACAATAAATAAATAAAATATTAAAAAAAAATATCAGCACTCCAGAGGCAGAGGCAGGTGGAGCTCTGTGAGTTTGAAGCCAACCTGTTCTACAGAGTTGAGTTTCACACTGGCCACAGTTACATAGTGAGGCTTGGTCTCAAAAGACAAGTAAGCAAACAAATACATAAATAATAAAACAAATAATAAAAAAAAAGAACCATTGACCCTGAAGCCCTGCCACCAGTCCCTTAAGTTGCTGCTATCTCCCATTTGAATTATTTCTGCCCTTCTCCATCCAGCATCTGCACTCTCTTCCTCCTGGGGTTTGGTCTTTGTAGCCTCTAAGATCATTTACTTCCAATGTTCCATCCTTTTGACCAATACCCCCTATCACGCTATATTTCCCTTTCCTTGGGAATCAGCTGGACACAGTGACTAGCTTCTAACCAGTAAAACATGGCAAGTAAGAGGTATCACTTCCAGATGAGAATCCAAAAGAAGATTGTTAGCATCCAGGCACACCTTGTCCCTGCTCCTTGGAGACCTGGCTCTGCAAAAGGCCCCTTTAAGAGACAAACTCCGCCCACTCCCTCTTGCTGTGGTTTTTTTTTTTTTTTTTGAAGAGGCGGGCAGGCCCATCTTTTCCTGTCTTTCACTGTCTCTGTCTCTGCCTCTCTTTCACCAATAAAACTTCCCACTTAAGCACTGTCTGCATGGTGTGTCTGTCCCTCACCGGCCCTGGTTTGGATCCACCCAATAAGGTCCCTCTCAGGCCATGTCATAACAGGGAGAGACTGTGTTACTCACTGGGCTGTCTCTCTTAGCCTTCACTGAGGGGCAAGCAGCTACCCTGTGAGCAGCCCTGTGGAGAGGCCTTCCTGACAAGACCTGGTATCTCTGGCCTGCCTAGGCCCTGAGGCCTACCTACAGCAGAGACACAGGTGAGCCTGGATATTCCCTCAGTTGAGAATTCAGATGACCAAGCAGGGCCTGACCCATAACTTCTTTCTGTTGCTTTTTTTTAAGTCAGGATCTCCCTATGTATTTCAGGCTGGCTTCCAACTCAGGGATCCTCTGCCTCTTAAAGGCATGCAGCCACCATACCTGGCCCATAATTGCTTCTTCACGAGACACTCTAACCCATAGAACCCCGAGAAACTGGGGGGAACATATTTTAGAGAGACTTTTGTGCTCCTCCCTTTGGCTATGAGACTATTGAATTATTGAACCAATGGCCCTCAAGAAAGCAGAATTTCCCCTGCAGCCTCTTACTGAGGGAAGGAGAAGCCTGGGGCGCTGGTGCCTCTCACAGGGGTAGCTTGTCACATGCCCATAACTTGTTAGAGCTCACACAGCGATGATGGGCAGGCTGATACCTTGACTCCTTAGTCATGTGTACTCTTGTGTTCTATGTAAGCCTAAAACATATGTCAGGACTCCAAAATCGGACTTGGGGTGCTCACTGTACCTCTTGGTGCCCCTTCCCATTGTGGCTACATAGAACAGACCTCACTTTTTTTTTTTTTTTTTTTTTTTTTTTTGGTTGTTACCTTTTCTCTTTAATCTGGTTATTGAGGGTGGGCAGCCAAACCTGGCTTGTTATCGTGACCAGTGGCCAGGCTCTGACTCTAACGATTTTCCATTAACATTCCGATTCTGGCCCACAGGAGTGGTAAAATCAAGTGTAGCACTCCCCCTAAACAGCCATTTCTCTTCAGCCCAGGCAGCTGTCACCTAGTGACATCAGTGACACCTGCTTCTAGAAGTCTGTATCCAGTTTGTAGTATGCGTGCAGCCTCACTGTGTGAGGAATTCATTCCAATCTCGGTGTCTGTCTTAGCTAAGGTTACTACTGCTTTGATGAAACACCACGACCAGAAGCAACTTGGGGAGGAAAGGATACAGTTCACTCAAAGGTCCACAAGGCAGTTCATCATCAACAATCAGTGAGGCAGGGAGTCAAGCAGGGCGGGAACCTGGGGGCAGGCGCTGATGCAGAGGCCATGGAGGGTGCTGCTTACTGGCTTGCTTATCTTGTCTTGCTCAGCCGGGTTTCTCATACAACCCAGGACCACCAGCCCAGGGACGGTGCCACCCACAGTGGTCTGGGCCCATCCCCATCAACCACTAATTAAGATTTGTCTTATAGGCCTGCCCACAGCCTGATCTTATGAAGGCATTTTCTCAGTGGAAGGTCTCCCCTCTCAGATGACTCTAACTTGTGTCAAGCTGACATAAAACTATCCAGTACAATGGACCCCTTGTCAACTTGACACATAACTGTTAAGCCATAACCTTTCCTTTCCCGAGATCACACATTAAAAAAAAGACATCACACCAAAAAACATCTTACACACTTAAAAAAAAGTCCCACAGCCTTAAAGCTGTCTCACAAAGAAACACAGGAACAAAGCTAAAGTAATCTGACAAGGCAATTGCTTAAAAAAAAAAAAAAGAAAGAAAGAAAAAAAAAAAAAGAGTGTGCTACATCCCAAACTGAACTACCAAGCATACTGGAGCCGAAAGCTCACCTAGGTTCCGTTCTGATGTGGGTGGTGACTGTCGTTCATCCCACTGGTAGGAGCTTGACCTCACACACACATGACTGGTTGATTCATAATCTTCATGAAGGGGCTGGGCTTGATAGAGAATCAAGGTTCTGGAATGTGTAGAAGTTGGACAAACAGCTACATACGAAGGAGTCTCAGAAGTGCGGAAGGTTCATGGAATATTTGCCTTGGTGGGCTAGCCACGTTGGACAGAAACAACATCGACTGTTCCTCACATAACTAATGCATTTACCGTATCACAGAGTAATGTTTTTGCTCCCAGAGTTCAAGGACAGGCTCTTTACTGTGTCTCCTAAGTCAACTTTCATTTTCTATGTTTGTGAGTGTTTTGCCTTCATGTATGTTATTATAGCACTTCCGTGTCTGGTACCCACAGAGACCAGAAAAGGGCATTGGATCCACTGGAACTGGAGTTCCAGAAGGTTGCGAGCCACCATGTGAATGCTGGGAACTGAACCTGGGTCTTCTGCAAGAACAGCCAGTGCTCCTAATGCTTAAACATCTCTTCAGCCCCTGACTGAACCACCAACCAGCTCCCAAATCATGACATGGAGACTTATTCTTAGTTTTGAATGCTCAGCCCTAGCTTAACTCTTTTCTGGCTACTTCTTTTTAACTTGAATTAACCTGTTTCTCTTTATCTGCCTTTTTCTCAGAGCTTTTTACCTTTCTTTCTTTCTTTCTGTATATCTTACTTTCACCGCTTCTCATGTCTGATTGGCTGGTGTCTCCCTTGTTCTTCTTCTCTTCTCTCTTGAGCCTAGATTTCTATTTATTCTTTCTTCCTGCCAGCCCTGCCTAGTTATCAGCCTAGTTATCGGGCCGTTCAGCTCTTTATTAGACCAACCAGGTGCCTTAGGCAGGCAAGGTGAAACAAAAGCAACACCACTTTATATAATTGAACAAATGCAGCATAAACAAAAGTAACTCACCTTTCCACAGTTAAAGTGATATTCTGCAGCATAAACAAATGTAACACACCTTAGCCCGGTTAAAATAATGTTCTACAACATCTGATCCTCATTTTCTACTGAAATTGCATCCCATCCCTCTGGTGCCTGGCGTGCTTTTGCTCTTCACCAGGGTGAATCACGAGTGTTTCCAGATTGGGAAGGACCTCTGTGCAGCCTTTTGCTTGTCTAGTGTGTCCATTTGTGACATGTTTGTTCTTTCTTCCCCAAAAGCCTAAGATCTTCAAGTTTGGGTCGGTTGTCCATAGTATTTGTTTTCTTATTGTTTGTTAATTTCACATTTTATTTCTTGTGTGTGTATGCAGCTTGCTTCTGCTACAGGCCTCAGCTATTGTGCGTGCATGTGCGTGCGTGCGTGCGTGTGTGTGTGTGTGTGTGTGTGTGTAAGAGACAGACAGACAGACAGACACACACACACACACACACACACACACACGCGCGCGCTGCGCACACACACAGAGGCTTCACTTCCTCTAGTCATTGTCCCTCCCCAGCATTATGAAGCCTGCCTCCAGTTTCCATCACTGACAGACGCTGCTCACACTTCCTAGGTATCTTCTTGATTTAGAAGCAGCTGGAATCTCTTAGGCTCTTAGCTTTGCTGATACAAACTCAAAGGGAATAAGAGAGAGTTTATTCTGAAGCTAGGACTCCAGGGAACACGGAAGGATTCATGTGGCCCTAAGTAACCACGTACTGAGGAAAAGAGTTTCATGAAATTTTTATAGTTACAGAACAAAGGGAAGCCAGAAACCAAGAGACTTGATACATGGGTGGAGAGGTGGGGTAGGCAAGGCACAGCAACACAGGGAAGTCTCCACTAGGGGTTTCAGATGCTGTCTCACGACAGTTCCATAATCAGTTCCTACAACCCACAGGACAGAGAGTGCAACAATATGGAAATCCAAGTGGACATTGAAGCCAAACCAAGTCACTATCAGTTGGTGAGTGGAAGTAGCACAGAGGACTCTCTGCATGTCCATGCGCAGATGGCCGAGAATGAAGAGGAGGGGAATGGTGGTGCTGGCGTTGGCGGTGGTGGCAGTGAAGAGGCCCCCCCTTGCAAACACCAAAGCTGTGAACAGAAAGACTGCCTGGCTAGCAAGACTTGGGATATCAGCCTGGCCCAGCCTGAAAGCATCCGCAGTGACCTAGAGAGCTCTGACACACAGTCAGATGACGTGCCAGACATCACTTCCGATGAGTGTGGCTCCCCCCGTTCCCATGCCGCAGCCTGTCCCTCAACCCCCAGAGCCCCGAGTGCAGCGAGCGCCTCAACCCACACGACATCCGTCTGCTGCTGGCCGACCCGCCGCTCATGCACAAGTACGAAGAGTTCATGCTGCGCCGGTACCTGGCTTCGGACCCCGACTGCCGCTGGTGTCCGGCCCCAGACTGCGGTTATGCTGTTATTGCCTATGGCTGTGCCAGCTGCCCAAAGCTAACCTGTGAGAGGGAAGGCTGCCAGACTGAGTTCTGCTACCACTGCAAGCAGATATGGCATCCAAACCAGACCTGCGATATGGCCCGTCAGCAGAGGGCTCAGACTTTACGAGTTCGGACCAAGCACACTTCAGGTCTCAGCTATGGGCAAGACTCTGGACCAGATGACATCAAGCCATGCCCACGATGTAGTGCTTACATTATCAAGATGAATGATGGAAGCTGTAATCACATGACCTGTGCAGTGTGTGGCTGTGAATTCTGCTGGCTTTGCATGAAAGAGATCTCCGACTTGCATTACCTCAGTCCCTCTGGCTGTACATTCTGGGGCAAGAAGCCATGGAGCCGGAAGAAGAAGATTCTTTGGCAGTTGGGCACATTGATTGGTGCTCCAGTGGGGATCTCTCTCATAGCTGGCATTGCAATTCCTGCCATGGTCATTGGCATTCCTGTTTACGTTGGGAGGAAGATTCACAGCAGATATGAGGGAAGGAAAACCTCCAAACACAAGAGGAATTTGGCCATCACAGGAGGAGTGACTTTATCAGTCATTGCGTCCCCAGTGATTGCTGCTGTCAGTGTTGGTATTGGTGTCCCCATTATGCTGGCATACGTTTATGGGGTTGTACCCATTTCTCTCTGTCGCGGAGGTGGCTGTGGAGTTAGCACAGCCAATGGAAAGGGGGTGAAAATTGAGTTTGATGAAGATGATGGTCCAATCACAGTGGCAGATGCCTGGCGGGCCCTCAAGAACCCCAGCATTGGGGAGAGCAGCATCGAAGGCCTGACTAGTGTGCTAAGCACCAGTGGGAGCCCTACAGATGGACTCAGTGTTATGCAAGGCCCTTATAGTGAAACAGCCAGCTTTGCTGCCCTTTCCGGGGGCACACTGAGTGGTGGCATTCTCTCCATCGGCAAGGGAAAATACAGCAGCTTAGAAGTCCAAGCCGATGTCCAAAAGGAAATTTTCCCCAAAGACACAGCCAGTCTTGGTGCAATTAGTGACAACGCAAGCACTCGTGCTATGGCCGGTTGTGGTGGCGCACGCCGGTAGGATTTGCTGAAGGAGGCAGAGGCAGGAGGATCACGAGTCCGAGGCCCAGGCTCCGCCGATGGAGGTGCTGCCCGCCGAGCCGGCTATGCTTAGCTTTGGGTTGGAGGAGACTACTGGTCTGTTCAGTTAGTACATTCTGTTTTTCTTCTTTAAAGGTATTTCTAGACAGGCATGATAACCCATATTTTTTTTTAAAGATTTTAAAATTTGTTTTTTTGGTATATGAGTGCTCTATCTGCATGTATGACTTTATGCCAGAAGGGGGCATCAGTTACCACTACAGATGATTATGAGCCACCATGTGGTTGTTGGGAATTGAACTCAGGACCTCTGGAAGAGCAGCTAGTGATCTTAACTCGCTGAGCCATCTCTCCAGTCCCCCAGTTAATACATGCTTTAACGTCGGTACACAACACAGGGGCTACCAAGGGTCCAGTTAAATATGGCAGGGGCTATGACTATACTGCGAGTCTCTATATAAAGCACTGTATGTAACCCAGCATGTGTTCAAAGCAACAGAAAGTCTAACCCAAGTAAACTTTTGTGGCAAATAGCTGACTCTCAGCCAATCACAGCCGAGCTACACTCAGCCACAGTCTGTGCTGGCTGTGTCCACTGTCACCACTCACATTTCCTTTCCACAGATGCTCCTTGCCTGCAACTTGGTTGTCTTAGTTACTTTTCTAGCGTTGTTACAAAACACCATCAGAGCCAGAGGGTTAGCGTCCATGGCCATCATGGCGGGAAGCATGGCGGCAGGCAGACATGTATGGCACTGGGGACGTAGCTGAGAGCTTACTCAGCTCACAAGCACAAGGGTGTTGTGTGGCTCTCCCGGGTGAGTCATTACTGCTTCATTCAACTCTGTTAGGCACAGCTGTTCAGAGTTCGTTTGTTTTATGGTATTAGGGATGAAGCAAGGTCCTCTCACATAGTAGGCGGCACACCCCCTCCTTTTTTTTTTTTAAACAGAATCTCACTTCGTAGCGGTGGTTGGCTTGGCACTCAATAGGCTAACTAGACTGGCCTTTAACTAGATCGGCCTGTCTTTCCTTCCTGAGTGCTGGAATTAAAAGCCTGTGCCACTATGGACAACACGTTGCTACCGATTTCCGTGGTCTTATGAGCAGGGGAATCTTTTTCCTTAAAGTGTGGGTCATCTTGACAATCGGCACTGTTACTATTGAAACGTCGTCAGAAAGCCTGATTTTGGAGCCCAGCAAGGTAGCACATGCCTGTAAAATCAGCTCTTGGGAGGTGAAGACAGGAGGATTAGGAATTAAAGGCCATCATTGTTTACATAGTGAGTTCAAGGCCAGCCGGGATTATAGGCAACTCATCTACGGAGGAAAAAAGCAAACAAACAAGCAAACAAAAATCTAAAAAAAAAACAAGTAAAAATATTAAATTGAACTTGAATAACAATGTTTGTTTCATGGGTTACTGTGGAGACAACATGAAAACATGGTAACTTCAAACAGAACTGTATATAAGTGGGACACTGGATTTATCAGCTGATTTCCACTAGAGGGCAGTAGACATCAATAATACAGTTTGGCCTGTTTGGTTTCAGGAAATGACTTGAAGTCAGTTTTGTAATAATTCTGAAACATGTTGGACTTCAAGTATTACTATTGCCATTATTATTTATCATTTTGGTTTTATGATACAGGGTTCCTCTGTGTAACAGCCCTGGCTGTCCTAGAACTCGATATGTAGACCAGGCTGGCCTGGAACTCGCAGAGATCCGCCTGCCTCTGCCTCCCAGCTTCTGGGATTAAAGGTGAGCACCACCACTGACTGGTGCAGCCAGTGCTCTTAGCTGCTGTGCCAGCTCTTACATTCTATTTGGCCACTTCCACTCAATGTTTCCCAAGCCTTGGGGGTGGAGACGTCATAGGTAATGACGAGGGTTGAGAGCTCAATAGTCACTTTCTCAGATCTGTGTTTCTGGATGTTTTCTTCGAAGCAAGATGGGATTTTATGAGATTGGTACAAGGTCATGACCTCCTGGGCAAGACACCGTGTCTATCTGTCGAAGGAATGATGGTGTCTTACTCTCTTTTCTGATGTTTGGATCTGTTTATTTATTTATTTATTTAGAGATAGAGTTTCACCAAGTAGCCCAGTTTGGCCTTCAACTTACAGAGATCTGCCTGCCCTTCCCTCCCGAAGTGATGGAATGAAAGGTGTGTTTTACCACACTCATTGATAAAATAGTGTTTAAAAATTCATTATAAAAAACTTGCAAATTAATTAAAGAAAAAAATAAAAGAAGAAAGGCATCATTCTGTAGACCAGGCTAGACTGGAATTTAACTGTGTTTCCCAGGCTGGCCTCAATTCTCTTTCCTCAGTTTCTCAAGTGTTAGGATTAAAGTCATGAGCCACCACACTTAGTTCCAACAAACGAATTTGAAGGAGATCCCAAGTTAAAAGCAAGATTTTGTTACAAACAAAATAATTTTGTTTGCTTGTTTGTTTGTCGAGACAGGATTTCTCTATGTAACAGTCCTGGCTGTTCTAGAACTTGATTTGCAGACCGGGCTGGCCTGAAACTCACTGAGATCCACTTGCTTCTGCCTCCCAAGTGCTGGGATTAAAGGTGTGTACTACCATTGCCCAGTTGGTGTCTTCCATTTAAAAATAAGATTTATTTCATTATTTATGTGCATATGTGTGTATATCTATACTGGTATGCACACATTTGTGTAAATCCTTGGAGGGCAGAAGAGGTCATTGGGTCCCCCGGAGCTGGAATGACAGGTGATTATGAATTGCTTGATGTGGGTGCCAGAAACCACATCCAACTTGGGTCCACTGCAGAAGGTCTTAACAGGCGAGTCATCTTTCTTGCCCAGAGTTTACTCTGTTTGCTGAGATATTAATCTGACCATTTAAGAGCATAGTTTATTTCTTTGCTGAGATATTGATCTGATATTTCAAGGGTTTATTTATTCAGGTCATGTACTCAGCTATGTGGGCACAGGGTTAGACTTGGGGGATGCAAAAGTAAGAGTAATAGGTAGTGTTACAGGTTAGAAAGGCCCTAATCTATGACAACGCAATGGCCAAAGTGATATAATTGGGAGAGAGACAAGGTAGATTTACCCAGAAAAAATTGCTCACTTGATACCAAGGTGAAGCTAAAAAGAGACTTCAAGCAGTGCCTTAATAATATAACATTATTTATTAACATAATATTATATGATAGCATTATTTATGAGCGTGGAGGGAGGAAAGCATGAGGTTGTGAGTTCCAGAGTCTGGATTAATTTCAGAGTGAGTATGTGTAGGGAAACTGCACAACCAGGCCATACCGTAGTGAATGAAGTGTGTCACATGAGACACAGACACAGACACAGACACACACACACACACACTCAGGAGGCAGAGTCAGGCAGATCTCTGTGAGTTCGAGACCAGCCTGGTCTACAAAGAACCTAGGTCCAGGACAGCCTCCAAAGCCACAGAGAAACCCTGTATTGAAAAACTAAAAAAAAAGAAAAGAAAAAGAAAAGGCATCTGCTTAACCAGGTTCTTACTGTGGAACTCTGTTTTGAGGCAAGGTCTTATGTAGTTTAAGGTGACTTCAAGCTTGCCGAGTTGCTGGGGCAACCTGGAACTCTTCATCCTCTCCGTTTACCTCCCAAGAGCAACCATTGCTGGTATAAGTCACCACACCCTACCATTTGCGACACAGTGACTGTTGCCTATGCTTTACATAGGGAACAATGAGGAAATTTTTCCATCTGTTGCATGACTTTAGTCACAAGACTATCCCGGCACACTTGGAGCATCTTGAATTATTGGGACCCGTAAACAGTGTGCAGTAAGGACTGGTTTGCAGGGCTATGGTGCTTTCCTTCTTAGAACATGTCCAGTAGATCAAAGGGGCTTTGGTATGAGGAACTTGTACCTCAAACACAACCTTTGTGATCAGTCAATAAATATGAACCTAGATGGAGACTCGAGGTTCAATTCAAAGAGACCATTCCTCCCCGCTGCCGGAGAGCCTAAGATTCCAGTCTGGGGTGACGCTCCTTTAAACAGCCCACACAGCACAGAACACGGGACAAGCCCTCCTCAGTTCATTCCTGTATCCCTGAGTGCTGCTGAGGGTTAAGCCCCTTAACAAAAGCATTTCTTGAGTTGACATCAGGTACAATCTAAACTGTGGAGATAAAAAAGTAAGAATAATAAGCAAGGCCACTGTGTACAGGCTACAAGTATCCTGCCCTGGGACAGCATGATGGCCAAGGTGACATCGGTTACGAGCCAAGGCCTTTTCACCTAGGAATGATTGCTCACCTGATATCAGGGTGAAGTTAAAGTAAGACTTAAGACAGCCCCGAGCAGGGCTGGAGAGATGGCTCAGAGGTTAAGAGCACTGGCTGTTCTTCCAGAGGTCCTCAGTTCAATTCCCAGCAACCACATGGTGCCTCACAACCATGTATAATGAGATCTCATAGCCTCTTCTGGCATCGCCCTGTGTCTAATAAATAAATCTTAAGAACACTCTAACAACCAGGTATTGGTGGCACACGCCTTTAATCTCAGCACTCAGGAGGTAGAGGCAGGTGGATCTCTGTGAGGCTGGTCTACGAGAGCTAGTTCTAAGACAGCCTCCAAAGCCTGTCTCGAAAAACAAACAAACAAAAAAAGATTTATTTATTAGTTATATAGCGTTCTGCCTGAATGTATCCCTTCAGGTCAGAAGAGGACACCAGATCTCATTATAGATGGTTGTGAGCCACCATGTGGTTGCTGGGAATTGAACTCAGGACCTCTGGTGGAGCAGCTAGTGTTCTTATCCTCTGAGCCATCTCTAGCCCTGGGGCTTGATTTTAAATGTAGCTGTGGAGGTGGGGATTGAATCCAGGGCTTTGACCAGGCTAGGCAAGCTGTTCACCACGGAGCGACACCTGCAGCTGGAACACTCCGTGAACGGGGAACGTACAGGAAGCATCTTCCAGGTGCTGAACACACAGCAGGAAGCCAAGCAGGAACACTTACCTCGATTACGCAGGTACAGTGTGCCACCAGAGAGCAATTTACAGTTAGAAGGTCAAGGTGCTGTGAGTCCTGTGGAGGGAGGTGGCATCTCGGAGATACGGGGCATAGCAGAACTGGGTACTTTGTAAAAACGTGATGACCAGCGAAGGCATTCCTGATGTGAGGTCGTGGGAGCAGAGAGGTCGCGAAGGAAGCTTCTGCAGGTGTCTAGGTTGAGAGGTCAGCATCAGGCCAAGCCCTAAGGTGGGACTGAGGAAACCAGTGTGACTGGGACACAGTCAGGGGCTGGGGTGAGGGGTGACCTGGGAAGCTCTGGAGGCTACAGGGCTGCACCTTGAATTCTACTCTAAGTAATATCCTTCAGAATTTTGGTTTTGTTTGTGTGTGTTCTGAGACAGGCTGTCAGGTAGTTCAGTCTGGCCAGGAACTCACGATCCTCTGGCCTCCGTCTCCCAAGTGCGGTGATCACAGGGATATGCTACTTTACCTGGCCTTTTGAGGTTTGTTTTTGTTATCGTTGTGGTTGCTATTTGAGATGCCATCTTATTATGTAGCCTTGGCTGGCTTGTGGCCTGGAGCTTGCTGTGAGACCAGGCTGGCCATGGAACTGCCTCCGCTTCCTGAGAACTGGGGCTAAAGGCGTGGGCTGCCACGCCTGGCCTTTTTGAAGTTTCTGACAAAGTCCTCCTCTGTTCTAGATATCTTGGGATTCCTTTTGGTTGGTGAGAGTGAACTGGGTGGTGGTTGCAGGTTCGTAGAGGAGTTGAGAAACGTGTGGAGTAAGAGCGTGGAGTGGGGTTTGTGGAGGAGTAGCAGGTGTGGAGCGCTGAAGGTGAGGTACGTGTGATGTGTGCAGAGCTTGACTCTTTGAGGAACTGGACAGGCGGGGTGTGGTGTGGAGAGGACCAGAGGCATGGGGGTCGTCTTTGGGGTGTGTGGAAGGGTAGGGGGTGATGCATCGTGTGGTACATATGGGGAGGGCGTGGGACAGGGTTTCTCTGTGTAGCCCTGGTTGTCCTGGAACTCGCTCTGCGGACCAGGCTGGTCTCAATCCCACAGCCATCCTCCTGCCTCTGCCTCCCAACAGCTGGGTTAAAGGAGTATGCTACGGCTGCCTGGAGAGCCTGTGGTTGAGGCTGCGGGTGGAATAGGGTGGCTGGAGCACTTGAGGGGTGTGGGATTTGCCGAGGGGTTAGGCTGTGTGTATGTGCGTGTGCAGGGTGAGGGGCTTGTGTAGGGTGTGGTGAGCTTGTGTGTGTGGTGTTTGGGAGGTGGAGGTGCGGGGGGGGGGTGCTGTGAGGGTGTGGAGGGGTTTTGTGGAGAGTTCAGGTGTGGTGTTAAGTGTGGTGTTGTGTGTGGGCTGTGGGCACCCGGCCGGGTGTTTGGGCCTCTGGAGAAGAGCAGGGGTTGTGTACCGGCTGGTGGAAGGTTGGGGATATGGTTCGCTTTTTGTGGACCTTGTGGGGGAGGTTTGCTGCTTAGAAATCTGGAAGGTTTGTGCATGTGGGTAGGTGGTGTGCCTCCTCTCGTGCCTCCCCAAACCTCCCTCCTCTTCTTCATCCCCTCTCCCGCTTCTCCCTCAGTCCTGTCCCTCCTTCTTTCTTCCTCCTCTTCCTGGTCTACCTAGCCGGCAGCCCGCCCTTCGCCCCTCCCCTTCGCACTCCCGCGTGGTGCCAGCGGGTAACTTATTGCCGCACTCCAGAGCCTTCCAGCAGAGCAGGGATGATGGCTCCGGTGATGCTGCCGCTGGTGCTCTTGCTTCTGGCCGGGGACTTTCCAGGTGATGCCCAAATGGGTCGGGTGTCTAGATTGGTGAAGGGGGACCAGCTCAGAGATGACAGCGCTGGCCTACAGGCCTTGAGCTGCGAATGCGTACCGTTACTGACGGTTCTGCCCGGTGGGCCCCGGTGGCAATGGAAGCTGGCTGTGGGCGGCACCCTTGAAGCTCCAGTTGGGGCTTCGATCCCAGCTCCTTGTGGATATCACCCAGCCATCCGCGCTTCCTCTCTTAAGTAGATTTTCTGGGCTCCAGATAGGCAGTTGGATTTGTAACCACGGCCCAGTTGAGCCTGACAGGAGGTGTGTGGACATGGGAATGCCCAGGAGACTTTCCTCTGGACGGACTTGGGAAAGCAGAGTTGAAATTCCAATACTTACACTAAGTTTTGTGTTTATTGAGCTTGATGTACTGGCTCATGTCTGCAATCCCAGCACTTAGGAAGCAGAGGCAAGAGGTTCAGGCTTCGAAGGTCAGCCCCTGCAACACAGCTGGTTCAAGATCAGCTGGGGCCTGTCTCAAAAGTTAAATCCAAAATTTGTGTTTATGTGGAAAAAAGTATCTTGAATACACAGACAAAAGTCATCTTACACTGTAGTTACTTCCCTGACACTTGTAACTTCAAAATCAGTTTTCAAGAAACTTGATAGCAACAGGATCAAATGTTCTGTGTGTTTTTCAGAAGTCCTACGAATAACAGGGAGTGGTGGCTCATGTCTTTAATCCCAGCACTCAGGAGGCAGAGGCAGGTGATCTTTGTTTTGTAGGCCAGCCTGGTCTACAAAGCAAGTCCTGGGACAGCCCAGAGCTGTTACACAAAGAAGCCCTGTCTCAAAAGACAAAAAATAAAACAACAACAACAACAACAACAACAACAACAACAACAAAAAAACCCAACAGAAGTCCCAGGAAGAAATAAGGGAAGCTCTTTTAAAGAGACATGGGGAGGCATATCAGAAGGGAAGGAAAGTCGTGTGTGGATAAAACTCAAACCTTTTGGTCTTGCTCTCTGTGGGTTTTTTGTTTGTTTTTTGTTTTTGTTTGCTTTTTGAGACAGGGTGTTTCTGTAGCTTTTGGAGTCTGTCCTGTGTCCTGAAACTTGCTCTATAGACCAGGCTGGCCTCAAACTCCCAGAGGTCCATCTGCCTCTGCCTCCCAAGAGCTGGGAATAAAGGTGTGCACCACCACTGCCCGGCTTGCTGTTTGTGTTTTACGTGTGGGTGCATGAGTGTGTGTGTGTGTTGTAGGCATATGGAGCTGGTTGTCTTGTATTGCTCTCCATCTTACTCTCGAGACAGGGTCTTTTGATGTTCCTGGTGCTTGTCATTTCTGCTAGACGGACTGGCCAGTAATTCTTGGTATCCACCTGTCTCAACTGCCTCCCAGTGCTAGGGGTTTCGGGCTAAAGCCATCATGCCCAGCCCTGGATGCTGAGGACTGGAACCCAGTTGACAGCAAGCACTTCACTCACGGAGCAATCTCCCCAGCCCACAAACTGTCTTCACTCACGGAGCGATCTCCCCGGCCCACAAACTGCCCCCTCCCCGGAGAGTGTTTTACTTGTGTGCGCGTGCACTTGTCTGAAAGCACTCGGTATGGCAGCCAGAGGTTGCCTTAGGGTGCCATCTTACTTACAAACTGGGTCTTAAGGATCTTTTAAGAACAATTAGCCTTCGTCATATATGCAATGTCGGTGTTTTCTCCTTGCAGTCTCCTCCAACTCTTTGGACTTTCCCAACTCTCACTTAGTTCAGCCTTCAGAGTTCAGAACAGTAAGTATGAACCACTGGCGCTGTTTCTTCTCATACAGTGATGTGTTGAGCCATTTTCAGGTCAAACTTACAACTTTAGAAACCATGAATTAGCCGGGTGTTGGTGGCGCACGCCTTTAATCCTAGCACTCGGGAGGCAGAGGCAGGCGGATCTCTGTGAGTTCGAGGCCAGGCTGGACCGACAGCCTCCAAAACAGAGAAACCCTGTCTCGTAAAAACCAAAAAAAAAAAAAAAAAAAAAAAAAAGAAACCACGAATTGAGCCAGGTGTTGGTGGTGCACGCCTTTAATCCTAGCACTTGGAGGCAGAGGCAGGCGGATCTCTGTGAGTTTGAGACCAGCCTGGCCTACAGAATGAGTTCCAGGACAATCTCCAAAGCCACAGAGAAACCCTGTCTGGAAAAACCAAAAAAAAAAAAAAAAAAAAAAAAAAGAAAAGAAACTATGAATTGTTCTGCATTCCATGCAGGTTCCTTCATAGAGATAAATGAATATATAATTTTCTTTTCTCAAGATCCTCCTGTAGTCTCCCGAGTCCTAGGATTATAGGTATAAACCACAGTATCAGCTAAGAGTGTACATTTCAGTTGAGAAGATCTCAGTCTTTGAAGGCCCTATGGATCTGTTTGCTTTAACATTTCCTTTTAATAATTCAAATCCTCTGAGGCATGATAGTTGCTGTGTGTACCAGACAACCTCACTTATTTTGTCATATTAAATTGTGTGGACAGAAATGAAAACCAAATGAGACAATTTGTTGAGGACTGCTATATCAAGGGGTCCGTGACCACCGTTTTTCATTTTGGTAGAGACTCACTGGCTGGCAGAGGCATGGGAAAGTGTCAGAGTGGGGAGAGAGTCTTCAGGCGTGGCCTGGTGCAGGCTGTCAGCAAGGGAGACTTTAGGTAGTGGTGTAGACAATTACACTTGGTTGGTCCTCATTTGGAATCTAGGACCAAAGTTAGGGAAGCTGACAATTATCAATTGAGACCTGGCCCCTTAGGGGCTATTAGAAGGATTATTTGGCTTCCTGGACTGACTTTGGAGGCAGCAGTCTGAGGATATCTGACAGAAAATGTTTATAACCATTCTCTGTCTAAACAACTTGCAGATAATAAATGATGTCATCTGTGTCCTGAAACAGTCCCCACAGCATAGTCATCCCTTGCTGGCTGGCTGAGATGGTTCTCCTGCGTGGCATAGAAGCTTCAGCTGTCCCATCAGCAGAGAGGTTTTGCTTTGTTTTGTCATTCTGGAGACAGGGCGCTGGGACCACAGGTGTTCAGCACTGCACCAGGCCTAGCATTCTAGACTCTTGGGGTGGGGTGAGCATGTTGAGGCTCAGATTCAGGATCTGACGAATGCTGGGCTGTCATGCTTTGAGGTCTCATACATGGTCAAGCCACCCCCAGTGAGACAGACCACTTCCTGAGGCCTGAGAGACGTAGGACTCTCAGCTATTTCTCCAGCACCGTGTCTCACCTTGATGGTAATGGACTGAACCTCTGAACTGTAAGTGGGTCACCCCAATTAAATGTTTTCTTTTCGAAGCACACCATGGCCGTGGTGTCTCTTCAGTAGGAACCCTAACTTAGACAAGGGGTTCAACTCAGGTCGAGCACTTGCCTGTGTACCTGCAGCTCTGGGGTCAATCCTCACCACCAGCCAGAGTTAGAGTCCTTGTCACACTCAAGGGTCTCACGGAAACAGGAGTAATGAAGTAAAATTATTTGTGTGAGAGCAATATAAAATATTTGAGAAAAACTTGCTTAAAGACATTGCTTTAAACAAACAAACAAGCAAACAAACAAACAAACAAACTGTAGCTTCTGGGTATGGTGTGAACTCTTTTAATTCCAGAACTTAGGAGGGCAGAGGCAGGCAAATCTGGTTTACATAGTGAGTTCTAGGCCAATAATGAAATTCTGTCTCAAGATAAATTACTCCTCCCCCACACCAAACTACCATCGAATTAGGTAAGAAATGGCAGGGTGGGGGTTCGAAATGAGGCTTACTAAATATCCAAATTCTCACTGTGCTTTTGAGTATTGAGATAAGGTCTTGTATAGCCCAGGATGGCTTCAACTGGATGTATAACTATGTATGATGTATGATGTTGAACACCTGATGCTCCTGCTTCTGCCTTCCAAGTGCTAGGATTAGTTCAACTGGTACCATGCTGGGCTCTAGTTTGTTTTTTTGTTTTTTGAGACAGGGTTTCTCTGTGTAGCTTTGGAGCCTGTCCTGGAATGGGCTCTATAGACCAAGCTGGCCTGGAACTCACAGAGATCTGCCTGCTTCTGCCTCCCGAGTGCTGGAACTACAGGTATGCACCACCGCTACCTGGTTTGTTTTGTTTTTTTTGAGACAAGGTCTAGTTGTGTTCCTCAGGCTAGCCTAGAACTTAGAATGTATCCTAGGCTGGCCTCAAACTGGCCTTTTACCTTAGCTTCTGAAGAAATGGAATTACAGGTTTGAACCACATTTGGCTCTGGGGCCATTCTCTCTCTCTCTCTCTCTCTCTCTCTCTCTCTCTCTCTCTCTCTCTCTCTCTCTCTCTCTCTCTCTCTCCCTCCCTCCCTCCCTCTCTTTCTCTCTTTCCTTCTTTCTGTAATTGTATTTTGAACCATCACATCTGAATTTTACATTACAAACTCATTTTTGGGGTGGGCAGGGGAAAACATAAGTTTATTTAGAATATTTCCATGAAGTTTAGGGAAAGCTGGGACATTGTCCCCTCTTAGATATTTTGTAATGGGTATGTCTCAAGTGTTTCTCTTAATTATCTACTTTTCTCTTTTGTAGCCAAACTGTGATCATTATGACTACCCAGCATGCCCCAGGAACCTCAACCCTGTGTGTGGGAGCGACATGAACACTTACGGGAATGAATGTACTATGTGCATGAAAATCAGGTCCAGTAGTAAAGATTTTTTTTAGGTTTAGTAGTATTTTCTGTGCATAAGGGTTTTGCTTGCATGTATAGCCATATGCACAGCATGCATATCTGGTGCCCACGGAGATCAGAAGAGGGAGTTGGACCCCCCGGAGCAGTTACAAATGGTTATGACTGGAATCAGACTTGGGGTTCTCTGCAAGAGGAACAAGTGCTTTTTGTTTGTTTGTTTGCCTGATTGTTTGTTTTTGAGACAGGGTTTCTCTGTGTAACAGTCCTGGCTATCCTGGAACTTGCTCTGTAGACCAGGCTGGCCTCAAACTCACTGAGATCCACCTGCTTCTACCTCCCAAGAGCTGGGATTAAAGGTGTGGGCCACCACCGCCCGGCCAGATGCTCTGAACTTCCAACCCCAGGTCACAAAGTTTCTCAGTTGTGTACCTGTCCAGTTTTCTTTTCTTTTTTTGAATTTTGATCCCTTTCTGGGATGTAGGAGTCAAATTCGACTTAAGCTGCTTTTTATTTTTATACAGACATTGAAAAGATGTAAAGTCTGTAGCCCATTTTTTGATCAAAGCTAGACACTAAAGCTTGTGATCAGTCTGCTGTATGGCAGCAAACAGGTTATGTCACCATCTCAACGTACACTTTCTCCAAATTAAGAGCGTAGTGGAGACAGAGCTCAGCAGTAGAATGTTTACCTAGAATGGGTGAGGCCCTGGGATCAACCTTTACAACTGGGGGAGGAACATATTGCACACTTGGGGCTTGGGATATAGCTCCATGGTAGAGAACTTGCTAGGATACAGAAAGTCATTAGTTCAATCCTCAGCACTACAAAAACCACACACACAAAGAAGACTATAGTTAATAGCTAAATTCTGGAGAATATCACAGTTACTTTTAGATTTAGAGGGGCATGCAGGTGACTTGCACACCCTGTATTTATCAGTTGGCAGGTAAGACTTACTTCATATATTTGGGAAAATGCTAAGTATTAAGTGTATGTATGGTTCCTGACTCCCTTCAAACAGCACACTGACCAGGTGGCTGTAAGACCTCTGTGTGGGAGAGTGTTCTCATACATCAGTTTCCACTGGGCAATCTAAGTCTTCTTGAAATGTTTTGTAGGCATTAGAGCCCTTTATCTTAGGTTTGGGGTGGGGGTCAAAAAGATCTTTACCCTTTGTGTTTTCCGAATTAACCTTAGAAAGTGACCAAGTAACTGTAGTCCCCAAAGAAATTCGATGCATAATAGACATAGGACTTTAAAAATGCAAAACAGTTGGCCTGATTGCAGCATGGCAGGCACTGATACGGTGTGTATGGTTGTTCACTTTACAGGGAGGATGGTAACCCTCTTAAGATCATCAAAGATTCACCTTGCTGATGGGCGGTTTACAGAAGAGCAGCTGGAGAAACCCCTACTCCAGGGCCTCCTGCTAGAATCCCACTCCTTCTTTCTCCCTTCCCCTGTTTCTTTGCATGGTTCCCGTTAATGCACCTTCTCTGTGAGGAGGTGTGGAAGACGGCAGTGTGCAGGGATTCATAAACTTCTAAAACTCCTGCTCTGGGCCTCTGCTCTATAGCTCAGTTTAGTTACACTTATGGCCCTGGTGACTTTCGCATTGCTTTACTAACATGGAATAAAATGAGCATTGAATTCGATGGCTGGTGTTTTCTGTTGAAAATGCTGCTGCCACCATAGGGGAATTTTGATCTGCCCTGTTTCAGGGTTTTCTCACCGAGCCTGAGAATTAAATGGACACACAGACTAACAGGAGAAAATACTGCACATTTATTGATGCAAGGTTTTCATGGTGACAGCCTTCTTGAAGTAATGATTGGATGCAGTTAGGGGATTCATGCAATTTCTATATGTATAAATATTAATGGGCACAAAATGTGGGTACAACTTAAAAAATGAGAGGGAAACAAAGAGAAAGTAAAAATAAATGATGAGGAAAGATGGGGGTACGGGTAGAGGAAAAGGAGAATCTACTAAAACTTTTTGTTTGTTTTGCTTTTTGAGACAGGGTCTCTCTCTGTGTGGCCTTGGCTGTGCTGGAACTCACTCTGTGGATCAGGCTGGCCTCAAACTCACAGAGATCCGCCTGCCTCTGCCTCCCAAGCTCTGGGATTAAAGGCGTGCGCCACCACCTCCTGGCTAAGAACCTACTAAAGCTTTATTTGAAAGTTCCATAATGATATCGATTTAATACTTTACATGCTCACTTAAGTGTTTTTAAAGGAATCAAGGAAGGACATACAGGCAGATGATGTTAGAATTAAATACATGTTGAGTTAGACAAAGAGTAGCGGCTAGGAACACAAAAAGAACGCTAATAAAGTTGGTCATATATACAGACTGCCTCTATCCTCAATTTCTGCTCCTGAATGTTCATTCTGGAATAGAATTTTTTTTTTCCTGAGACAGAGTTTCATGCACTGAGACACAAGGGGGCAGTGCCTGCCTGACAACCGGCTGCCTGGGGCCACAGGCTGCAGTTGCTCAGCTCAGGAATGCTCCAACTGGGAGCCGTGTCTCACTTGTAAAGGGCTTCCTTCTTAAGACTCAGGTGTTTCAGTTCCTTGAGGATGCCACGTCTGTGAATAAAGCTGAGTGGTGGTCCAGGAGGCTATTGTGAAAAGGGGGCGGCAAAGGCGAAGTGAAGCCATGTTGCCTGCTTGGGTATGGTCAGGGAAAGCCTGTGAGACTGAGACTGAAAAGCCTGGGGGGGGGGGGGAGTGGGGCCAGAGGACCAGAGCTGACACCTGAGGGGGAGGGCAAGCTGATGAGGAAGGACTGAGATTTTGTGGACTGACTCTGCTGCTTCACCATCCCTCTTTGGTTAACTTATGAAGCCCTTTGTGTTTTATAAAATACTTTCACGTATGTTTTTTTGCCTCCAATTTGAGACGACTTGATGTTTGACTCCCACTTTAATGACTTATTACTGACAGGAAGAACTCCAATGCAGCTACTGAAGCTAATTTTAAATATTCCTAAGTGGAGCTGGGCGCGGTGGTACACACTGAGTCCTGACATTCAGGAGGTCAAAGCAGGACGAGCTGGACTTCAAGGCCGTTCTAGAGTACTAGGGGGTCCAGGCCGGCTACATGGGGAACCTGCCTCAACCACAAAACCAGGTACATGCCTCTAATCCCAGCGCCTGAAAGGCTAAGGGTGGTGGATCAAGAATATGAGGCCAACCTAGGCTATACAGTTATACCCTGTTTCTGAAAAAATCAACCAGCAAGCCCTGGATGAGTAGGGCCAAATGTTAATGGCATTACATTGGCCTTGCCACAAATGCCAGGTCCTACGCTCAAGATCCTATACATTCTCAAAAGACTCAGAATATTGGCTCTGGAGACTGACAAGTTCCGTTCTGAGAAAGAGCAGCCAAGAGCCACCATAGAAGCCTCTGCTTCTCGAAGGTCTTCAGAGACTCCATGTCCATCCAATCAGTAGAGAAGGACAGCGGGGCAGCTCAGTGTTAAAGTGCTTGACTGAGGGGCTGGAGGGATGGTTCAGTGATTAAGAGCTCTGGCTGCTCTTCTAGAGGATCCTGGTTCCATTCTCAGCAACCACATGGCACCTCATGTTCCAAGGCTTCTGACCCTTCACACAGACATGCATGAAGGCAAAACAGCATTGAACATTAAATAAAAATACTTTTAAAAAGGATATTTAAAAAAGTGCCTAATGTGTATGAGGCCCTAGGTTTAGAACCCAAAGCACATGTATACACACACATACATACACACACACACACATTTTCATGAATAATAAGTCTACATTACATAAAAATAATCTCTTGCCAGGTGTTGGTGGTGCACGCCTTTAACCCCAGCACTTGGGAGGCAGAGGCAGGCAGATCTCCAAGTTTGAGTCTAGCCTAGTCTACAGAGTGTGTTTTAGGACAGCCAGGGCTACTCAGAGAAACCCTGTCTCAAAAAATTAACTAATTGAAAAAAGAAAAAGAAAAGGCATACCTTTCCATCTACGTGCTTAGGTTTCTGGGCTTACATCCTTGACCAAAGAAGGTGAAAAGCTTCTGAGCAATGGGAACATGTGATGTGTGGAAAATATTAATCCCAGCACTCTGGAGGCAGAGGCAGGCACATCTCTGTGAATTCAAGACCAGACTGATCTACAAGAAAGCCACAGAGAAACCCTGTTTCGACACCCTCTCTCCCCCCAAAAAAGGGCTAGGGTTAGCAGTTGGTTTTCTTTCAGTCTGATCCTGTTCAGATGTGGTTGTACTGGGAAGGTTGGGCAGGAGGACATTTGGGAATTTAATGTTAGCCTGGACAACATAGCAAGCTCCAGGATGGCTGGGCTACACATTTAACCCTGTTTCAAAACTAAAATAATCCCATTCTGGCTGAGGAACTATTGGCCACTGATGGCTGCTGGGGGAGGGAGACCAGCATTCTTCAGGAATGTGGACCTTGAGAGGTTCATTATGCTCTGGCTCCTGGATGGTCCCATGCCCAGGTAAGTCACAGGCCGCACTGAGAGTCCACTGGGTGTTTTTTGTTTGTTTGTTTTTTAAGAGATCAATAGCTCCTGAAGTTAGGAAGGAGAAGTGGAGGAGGAGGGACAGGAAGGAATTGGATGGTGGATTTGATCAAAACACATCCTATGTGTGTATGAAATTCTCAAACAATAAAAGGTAAGAAAAAAAAGCAAGGGTCTTGGTACAAGCTTGAATCCTAGTACTTGAGGGCAGAGGACGGAGAAACAGAAGTTGGAGGCTATCCCTCAGCTACATGGCAAGCTTGAGGACAGCCTAGGCAACATGAGACCCTGTCTAAAGAAAACAAGAAAAACTGAAAAGAAAAACTATGAAACAAAACCCCAAACCACCAAACTCCTCCTCATTTCTGGACGTAGTTCCTTTCGTAGACCTTAGCTTTCTCTTCTGGCTTCCCCAATAAGTATTTCCTCTGACAATGCGCCAGTGTCTGGTTTTCATCAGTGGGTTTTTGTTGCCATTGTCTTTGTTTTCCAGTGCTAGGGACTGAACCCAGGGTCCTTCATGTATGTAAGGTAACGACTCTACCACTGAGCAACACCCCAGATCCATCAGTTCTCTAAGAAGCTGTGAGATAATTTATTACACTGTTTGAAGATGTGTCATTGTGACTGGTCTGATAAAAAGCTAGCTGGCAAATAGCTGGGCAGGAGGACTTCTGGACAGAGAGCTCTTGGGAGAAGAAAGGAAGGGTAGCCAGCAAGACGTGGAGAAAGCAGGGTGGGCAAAATGGAGATGAGGTACCAAGTGCATAGAAGGGTATAGATGAAAAAAATATGGGTTAATTTAAGTTATAAGATCTAGTTAGAAACAAGCCTAAGTTATAGGCTGCGATTTCATAATTAATAAGTCCTGTGTTGGTAAATTCTAGGTCGGATTATACAGTCCTGACCCATGGCAGGTGTTCCTAGCATGGCAGGTGTTCTTAGCATGGCAGGTGTTTTGCAGCCTAGACTTAGCCTGAGAATCCTGGAGATGGTGCTGCTGATAGCCTAAGCAGCTAATCAAGTGGGCATATGAGAGGAAGCCTTCTTGATAGCCCTACTTTGTGATATAAGGTAAACGAAGGGATAGTGCATTCTCTTCTTGGTCTGGGCTTGTTTAGGTTGGAGTTTCTATTTCTGTGAAAAACACTTCAACCAAAAAGCAACATGGAAAGAAAAGGCTTTATTTCATCTTATAGCTCATAGGCTATCATCTAGAGAAGTCAGGGCAGGGGGCCTAGAGGCAGAAACTGATAGAGAAGCCACGAAAGAAGACTGTTTACTGGCTTGTTCAGCTTACTTTCTTGTCGCCTCCAGAACCACAAGTCCCGGGATGGGATAACCCACAGTGACCTGGGCCTACCCCCATCAATCACCAATCAAGAAAATGCACCACAGGCTAGCCTACAGGCCTATCTAATAGGCACATTTTCTCAGCTGACGGCCTCTTCCATGATGACTGTGTCAAGCTGGCTAACTAGCCAGGAACCAGAGACGATATGACAAGGGCAGAAGGGAAGAGTTGCAGCGAAGCTTATGCTATCTCATAATCTCACAGTTTAAAAAGAAATCCCTATCTAAATTTTATCACACAATATATTTTGATCACATTCTTTTCCCTCCCCCAACTCCTCCTAGATTCTCCCCTTTCCCTCCCCACCCAACTTCATGTTCTTTCTTTTTCTCTCAAGACCCGAAATAAAAATAAAAACAAGCCGGATTAGTGGTGCTCGCCTTTAATCCTAGCACTTGGGAGGCAGGACAGGCAGATCGGTGTGAGTTCGAGGCCAGCCTAGTCTACAGAGCGAGTTCCAGGACAGCCTCCAAAACAATACAGAGAAACCTCAGCCTCCAATAAAATAAAATAAAAACAAGCAAACAAAAAACCCAATTAAGACAAAAACAAACAAAAAACCCCCAAACAAACAAAAACCCAAACCAAATCAAAACACAGAAGCACACAAAAACCAGGGAGTCTGTTTTGAGGTGGTCATCTGCTCCTGGGCTTGGAACCTGTGCTGGAATGTGGTTGGTATGCCCAGGGTCACCCCATTGGAGCAAACTGATTTCCCCTTTCCTAGCAGGTATCAGTTGCAAAGAGCCTCATGGTTATGGGTAGAATTTTGTGTTTTCACCTAAG